GTCGTAGTCGTAGTCGTAGTCGTGGTAGTAGTAGTAGTAGTAGTAGTAGTAGTAGTAGTCGTAAAAGTAGTAAAAGTAGTAGTAGCAGTAGTAGTAGTAGTAGTAGTAGTAGGAGTAGTAGTAGTAGTAGTAGTAGTAGTAGTAGTAGTAGTAGGAGTTGTTTTTGCTGCTGCTGCTGTCGTCGGTGTTGTCGTTGTCGTTGTTGTTGTTGTTGTTGTTGCTGCTGTTGCTGTTGTTGTTGCAGCCGCTGCTGTTTTTGTGATTGTTGCTACTATTGTTGTTCTTGTTACTGTTATCGTCGTCGCTGTTGTCGTTGTGGTTGTTGTTGCTGTTGGTGCTGCTGCTGCTGCTGCTGCTGATGATGATGATGATGATGATGATGTTGTTGTTGACGACGGCAATGATGGTGTTGTTGTTGTTGTTGTTGTTGTTGTTGTTGTTGTTGTTGTTGTTGTTGTTGTTGTTGGTGGTGGTGGTGGTGGTGGTGGTGGTGATGGGGGGGTTATGCCCGCAAGTTGTGCTCTTCGGCTTTGCGAGCGGGGGAGGCGTGTACGCCCCGGAGGACCTAATCTACAAGGATGGGCCCGGCATTGTTCGGGGGGTTCTGCCTCCCATATTTCCATCTTCTCGATTCATCCCCTTCCTCCTTTCCTCCGTTCCCTCCCTCCTCCCTCCCTGCTCCCTCCTCTTTCTTCTTCTCCTCTTTCTCCTCCTTCCATCCATCGTGCTCTGAATCTGCGGCCCCGGCACCAGACTTCTGGCTCCTTTCATCCTTCTCCTCCTCCTCCTCTTCCTCCTCCTCCTCCTCTTCCTCCTCCTCCCCCCTCCTCCTCCCTCCCTCCTCCTCCTCCTCCTCCTCCTCCTCCTCCTCCTCCTTCCTCTTCTTCTTCTTCTTCCTCCTCCTCCTCTTCTCCTCCTCCTCCTCCTGCTCTTCCTCGTGCTCTTCCTCCTCCGCCTCCTCCTCCTCCTCTTCCCTCGTCCCTCGTTCTCGGCCTCCCGGCCCTCGGCCCTCGGCCCTCTCCGCCTCCACTAGCCTCTTGTACCACGTCTCTCCTCAAACTTACCAAGTGCCTCTTACTGCTCGCAAAGTGTCTACTCGCAATCGTTCGACGAAACACATTTTTGCCTTGATGGTGAATTGTACACCCCCCTCCGCGGATCCATGCCATTTGCGAGTAGTTGCGTTGCAAGTACTGGACCGCGCTTGTCTACAAACGCTCTTCATCCCTTCTCCCTTCTACTCAGTCCTCCGTTGCCGCCAAATTCGCATCGGCAGCGCTTCGAGCCTCAGCTCGAAGGTCGGTTGTCGGCTCACTTAGCTCGCCCTGCTCAGATTCACCCCGCGGCGAATAGTAAAGAAAAGAAGGTCTGTCCTCCGTTCCAATGTCCCTCCTCCGTCCTCCCTCTTCGCCGCGTGCGGTCTCATCGTAACGCCCAGGCCCCCTTGCCAGGCAGCATGGGACCAGACAGCATGGGAGAGGGCACCCTGCTGCTGCTCCTCCTCCTGCTACTCCGCCTCCTCCTCCTCCTCCTCCTCGCACTTCGAAGGGCATGCCCCATCTCACGTCCCGCCGGCCCCCTTCCCGTTTATTGTTTCTTCCGTATCCATCCTCCTTGTTCTCATCTTCGTCGTCATCCTCATCCTCGTCCTTGTTCAGGCTCCTCACCCTCACCCTCCTCCTCCTCCTCCTCCTCCTCCTCCTTCTCCTCTCCTCATCCTCCTCCTCCTACCTCCCCCCTCTCCTCCTCCCTCCTCCTCCTCTCTCCTCCTCCTCCTCCTCCTCCCCCTTCCTCCTCCTCCTTCTCCTCCTCCTCCTCCTCCTCCTCCTCCTCTCGACTGGTCGCAGCGCTGCTCAGGACTCCCTGGACGTGCCTCCGCGCGCCAGCGTTCTGCCGGGAGCTCCGGCGCCCTAAGAGCCTCGTCCCTGGCGGCAGCAGCGGCCGCCAAGGCCCGCCACCTCTGGGGCCCCGCGCGCGGCCCTGCCCGGCCGCCCGGCAGGAGCAGTGCATGTGCTTCGTCAAGAGGGGCATCTGCTTCAGGACTGCCGTCCCGAGGGGCGGGGCGCCCAGTGGGCCCTGCAGGCGGCAGGGCATTTCTTGTGTTTATGTCTGTTTCGGATGCCGAGTTGTTCCATCGTTTCGGGCCCCGCTTTTGGGACGATTCCGACGCCGTTGTCTTGCCGTTTTAGTTTTCCTAGGTGGGGGCCTGGTTTTACAGGATCCCAGCTTCGAACTCGTTCCTAACGTCCTTCGGATCGCCGGACTGCCTTTGCCTTTCGGTTAAAAGTTTTTTACCGTTTCGGTTCAAAGCTTTTTTTGGTTTGATTTCAGATTTTATGATTCAGAGGCAGATGTTAGAGTCGAAAAACGGCACTGACGTTTGCATGGCCCACTAAGGCGGGGCAGGCGCAGATGGGCAGACGAACGACAACTGCCAGACGGTCGTTCGTTCCCAGACGGTTGTTCGCTGCGGTATTCGTTTGTTGGTTCGTTCGTTGGATTGCTGCCGCGCTAGGGATGGAGGAGTGAATCGTGAACGAACTTCCACTGCAGCGGACTACCGTCTGGGCCTAATTAGATGGGGCGAAAGCGAGGGTGGATGGGGGGAGGTGGAATTGGATCGGTGGGAGGTGGAGAGGGGGTTCGGAAGGTCTGACGGGCCCAGGGCGAGGATGAATCCGTTCCAGAGCGTCCCGGAACGCCCTGAGATCTCCGCGGCGCCCGATACATCCTTTCAGAACCGCCAGATCTCAGTGCTTTTCGATTTGCCCTCTCCCGATTTTATCCTCGCCCTGGCTTCGTCTGAGAAGGGGGGAGGGAGGGAAGGGTTTTGTTTTGCTTCATTTGGCCCGAGCGGTACCGAGCTGCCCACGTGCGTGCACCCCTGGGGGAGGGCAAGGCCCGCGGGGGTCAGGAGAAGAGCCCTGCACATCGGGCAGATGTTGGCGAGGTCAGCTGGTGGCCCCTGCCCGTTTGGGAATTGAGTCCCCTGGCTGAGCCTGCTCCACGCAGAACTGCCGGAGAGTTGTTACTCTTCTCTCCCCGCTCGCTCCCTGCCGCCCCCTTGCACCATCCGCCGCCGCAGTTGTGTTACTTGCAGGATCGAGCACGCCTTGCGTGTGAGGGGAAGCGAAGGTTGGGGTCGTCGCTTCGTCGTCGTTCTCTCCCCCTTTGCTCTCTCTTATCCTGTCATATCAGCTTAACGGGCTATTGAGTCTTGAGAAGCATATCTGATATACCAATCATGGGCGATGATACCGATATGTTGACATCACCATTGCATCTTGTTTTCGCTGGAAACCGTATTCATTGGCGACTGGCTCGGAGGCTTGGAAGTTGACACCAACATCAATATCGGCGGTGTGCCGCCACCGAGGGAAGATGCACCCGATGTCGGTGATGATGGCAATCTTCGGGCACCTTAACCAGCATGGGGCCGGTCCGGGTCGGTTCGGCAACGGGCCGGTTCGGTTGTAACGGTTCGGGTTCGGCGCCAGTTCGGTTTGAGCCGGCTCGGTTTTGCGTCGGGACGGTTCGGTTTCGGGCGGTCCGGTTCGGGTGATCGAAACGTTGGCGAAGTTTTGGGGGTCCGGAGGCCGGGTCGCCCACCCTGCGAGGGGTCCGGGGTCCGCTTTCTGGAGGGGCAGGGGGTCAGAAGTCCAGGTCTGGACCTCAGGTCCAGGCCCCAGGTCCGGGCCCAGGTCCGGAGGCCCGATAATGGCTCGCCGAGGCCTTCCGCCGCCTCCAAGTTTTGTGGGTGGGGGGGCCTCTTGGGGCCCTTTGGGAGCGCCCTGGCGGAGCTCTCCTGGGCAGTTTAGTCGGTGTCGTACCAGGGCCCCAACGGACGCTACAACGCACCCCTCTGTTGTAGCATCCGTCGGGGGGCGTCTCGGAGTTCTCTGGGGAGACTCTGGGGGGGGCCCTCTTGGGCCGTCGAGGAGGCCAGGCCAGTTCGGTTCCACTGGTTCGGGTTGACCGTTCCTGCCGATTTCGATCGGCCACTTCGGGGCGAATCAGCCTTTTCAGCTTCAGCCAGTCCAGTTTTGGTTCGGGCATGGGCGGTTCGGTTGCAGGAGCCGCGGTTCACATATACCAGTTCGGTTCGAACCCTTCCTGTTCCACCAGGTGGCCGAAGGATCACCACCATTACGAACGTCTAGGATCATTTTCCCCTGGCGGAGGCAACTCTTGTGTTGGCGTTGGTGCCGATGGTGGGCAGCGGTCGGCCAGATGAGCTAATCTACCACCACTATCACAGCTTGCAACCGGGTGACACGCAAAATTGTCGTCTGACAAGTCAATGACGACGCAAGGGTGCCCAAGCTCTCGAAATTTGGCTGGCTGCACCCAGGGGACCAAGGAGCGGCGCCCAGGTGGCGAAGTGGACGCAGGTGGCTTACGCGAAGCACGCAAAAACACAGCGTGCATTGCTCGGCGGCGCGCCCGGGGGGGAAGTGAGGATGAGCAGGCCTTGTCAGACGACGGCGGGGCTTCTCAGAAGCCTTGCGGCTTTATGCGATTTTTTCCGCGTCTTCGGCCCAGAAACCCCATCAGAAGGTCAGAGGGCTTCCGAGCGTCCTGAGGAGGCCCGCTCCTTCTCGATTCCCCCCGGGCTCGCCGAAGAGAGGCAGCTGCCGCTGTTCGACAGTTCCGTGGGCGATGCGGGCGCACATGCAGTGGCGTGCGCCCGCATTTGCCGGCCGCGTCGGCAAAATCCAATATGTGGTGCTTACCTACAACCGCGTCCGGGACTCGGGCGCCGAATGGCCAAGAACGCCCCGTCCAGGACCACGGGTGCGGCTGCCTGGGAGCCCGGGCAGGCCGAAGAAACGGCGGCTCGGGCTCGCACTGTGCCTCGGGCCCCGTGTCGAGTCTAGGCCAGGGCGGCAGGCCCAGTGGTGGTGTTTGGATTTTATGTTCGAAAACCAACCAATGCGATGATATTGCAGAGATCAGGTAAGAAGACACGAAGATTGTCACCGAACTAGCTTCGGAACGTCTTCGTCATCATCTGAGGGGCTACGGCCCCGCCGCCGACGCCTTCGAGGCGCGCGGCTGCGCGTCAGTGCGGTTGCGGATGTCGGCGCTCGCTAACGAGGATGAGGATTCATAATTCAGTTCGCCGTAGTATAGCTCGTGTGCTCAACGTACACACGAGTCAGCAGTGCGAATAATATGCTGAAATCATGAGGGGAAAGAGGAAGAGGAGGAGGAGGAGGAGGAGGAAGAGGAGGAGGAGGAGGAGGAGGAGGAGGAGGAGGAGGAGGAGGAGGAGGGGGAGGGGAGGGAGGGAGGAGGAGGAGGAGGGGAGGCAGGAGGGGAGGAGGAGGAGGACGGAGCCTTGACTATACCCTGAGGGCGGATAAGAGGGAGGAGGAGAGCGGGTAGGAGGGGCGGAGGAGGACGGAGGAGGCGGCGGAGTGCGGCGGAGGGCGGGAGGAGGGCGGGGAGGGCGGAGAGGGGGAGGAGGCCGGAGGAAGGCGGGCGGCGGGGGAGGAGGGCGGCGGAGGAGGGCGGCAGAGGGCGGGCGGAGGGCGGAGTCGGGCGGAGGAGGGCGGCTGGATGGGCGGATGACAGGTTGGCGGAGGGCGGAGAAGGGCGGAGAAGGAGGAAGGGAGGGCGGAGGAGGGCGGAGGAGGGCGGAGGAGGGCAGAGGGGGCGGCAGGAGAGCGGGGGGGGCGGAGGGCGTCGAGGATGGGCGGAGGAGGGCGGCGGAGGGGGAGGAGGGGCGGAGGGGGCGGCGGAGGGCGGTAGCGGGGGCGGAGGAGGGCGGAGGAGGGCCGGAAGAGGGCGGAGTAGGGCGGGAGGAGGCGGCGGAGGGCGGAGGAGGGGGAGGGAGGCGGAGGGGAGGAGGAGGCGGAGCAGGAGGAGGAGGAGGAGGATCAGGAGGAGCGAGGCGGAGGAGGAGGAGGGAGGATGGAGGAGGAGGAGGAGGCGGAGGAGGAGGAGGAGGAGGAGGAGGAGGAGGACGAGGACGAGGAGGAGGAGGAGGAGGAGGACGAGGAGGAAACATAGTACTAACACTAATAATACTATGGATACTAATACTATACTAATACTAAAAAATAATCTTTGTAATCAGAAGAATAACGCTAATAATTAAACAACGAAGAATATCAATAATCATAATAATAATTAGAATAGTAGTAAGACGAATAATGTGAATAATAGTCCTAAAGAGAATAAGCCGCATGATTCGAGTAATCAGAATCATAAAACGAATTAAAATAATACGGCGACTAATGATAACAACCATATAATACGGAGAAGGCTATTAAGACTAAGGGGAATAATGATGAGACGAATATGAACAATAATACGAATAATACGCATAATAAGAAGACGACTCATAAGACGAATCGTACGACTAATAATACCAATGCTAGGGATACGAATGATACTAATAATGCCACTGCTACTAGTAATACTAGAACTGAACATAATACTGATACTGAGAATACCAACAGTACTAATAATACTCATGGTACGAATCATACTGCTACTACTACTGCTACTAATACTAGTACTAGTACTAGTAATACTAATAATACTACTACTAATAATAAGACGAAGAAGGCGAAGACGACGAATACGAATAATAATACTCATACTGAGAAGGAGAAGAATAATAATAATATTACGATTGCTAATAATACTAGTAATGCTTACATTACTACTAATAAGAATAATGACCAGACGGAGCCTACTACTAATAATACGAATCATGATAATAATACGGAGAAGAAGAAATATATAATCATAATCCGAATAAGAAGAACATGACTAATACTAATAATATTGATCTTACACATAATAAGAATACTCATAAGAGTACAACGGATATTAATAATACTATTAAGAAGAACAACGCGACGAATAATAGCAACACTAATACTGATAATAATACTACTACTAATGGTACTACTACTAATAATAATCATACTACTAATAATACTATACATAATAATAGTAATACTACTTATAGTAACAATCATAGTAGTACTAATAATGATAAGATTACTAATACTACTACTACTACTACTACTACTAATAGTAATACTACTACTACTACTAATAATAATAATTATATTATTGATAGTACTAATAATAATAACAATAATGCGAATAAACAAGGGGCACGCGTGCCAAGGATCATACAATGACGATGTGGGTCCATGGGAGATGGAGAAAACCAGGGATCGCGAGGGAGGCAGTCCTTGGCAGGCGCCGGGAAGCGCGCCGCAATTGCTGCGACACGTTGGCAAGGGACAGATTCGAAGACGGGAAGGGGCGGCTAGAAGCATGTCAGTTTGGGTATGGAGGAAGGTCGCTTGTCCTCTGTCTCGTCCTCCTTCTCCCCCTCCTCACCGCCACTTTCTCCTGTCCCGCCTCTCTTCCTCCTCCTGGTTCTCGACCTCCTCCTTGTCCTCCCCCTCTCTCCACCTTCTGGGGCGGTGCGGCGCGTGGCGGCGGAGTCGCCCTCGCCGTCGGCATGCGGCCGGGCGCGCTGCGTCCTCGTCCTCCTCCTTCTCGTCCTCCTCCTCCCCCTCCACCTCCGCCCCCCCCGCCTCCCCCTCCGCTTCCTCCTCCGCCTCGCCGTCCTCGCCTCCGACCCGAGGCTGGCCCAGGCCACTCATCCTCGCCTGGGGCCCGAGGCTCGCTCACCGAGCGGCGGGCGGCGGCGAGCTTCCCGGCCGCCTGGCCCGTCCGCCGGGGTTGCCTCGGAAGGGTCCCAGAGGCCCAAGACGGTCCAAGAGGCTCCAAAGAGGCCTCCAAGACAGCCCAAGAGGCCTTCAAGAGGTCGTCTAGGAGGGCCCGAAGAGGCCAAAATCATTGATTTTCTTTGGGTTTGGGAAGGATTTGGTCATTTGCGCCTTTTCGGCTTTCCGACGGTCCAAGACGGCCCAAGAGGCCCCCAAGATCGCCCCAAAATTGCCCAAGAGGCCCCCAAGATGGCCCCATGACGGCCCAAGAGGCCTCCTAGACGGTCCCAAGAGGGCCTCAACACGGGCCAAGAGGCCTCCAAGATGGCTAAGATTGCCTCCAAAACGGCCAAGATGGCCTCCAAGTGCCTCCAAGATGGCTTCCAAGACGACCAACATGGCACCAAAGTGCCTCCAAGACGGCCCAAAATG